GCAACGGAGTTTTGTTGGTTATACACATTTATACTCATGCTTGACTCTAGCAAGTGCGCTCCAGTTTGCCACCTTCAATACACCATCATTTAGGGAGTGTCTTTAGATGAATTAGCAACATGTAATCCAAGAGATATTATTGAATGTGTCCAAAGAAACACTGAATAATACATAGAAACTAGCAAAAGTCAATCAACCACCATAGTACAACTATATAGCAGTCTGCATACTATTCCAAATCTTAGGACAATAAATGTGGCTATCTTTCTCCTATTCTGAGAGTGGAAACGTGCAATTAAAAAAGAGAAAATTCAAAGAGGAAAAAAGAAGTAAAGAGCTAGTAGCAATGGGCTCTAGAGACCAAGGAAAACTAAGTTGCTTTGAATGCTTAAACAACATAGCGAACATTCATCTTTCTATCTTATCTTTTCTTCTTTTATCATTTATTCATTGTTGTCTCAAAGAATACCCTGGAGTCATTGTTCACTTCACTAAGCTTATGAATTCATGAATCTCATTTATCGTAATAGATTGTTGAACTATTTTGTAAAAATTAGTTCTAAAACAATGATGCACTTGAAAAGAACGTCTTTGATAAGACTCTCTTCAAGTGCAAGGGGACAATTGTTCGGAAGTGTGGTTCAAGAACAACACCCTGATTTAACAAATACATTGTATGAAGTAGCACCAATAAAATAGCATGCTCCGTTGGAAAAGACATGCATCACTTTATTGAAAAAGTAGAGGCAAAATTTCCTAAGACTGAACTTGCATCAAATAATGGCCAACTTGGAAGATAGCAAGCAGCCTGGTGGAAGAGCCTAGCTATATTTGGCATTCAACACCATGTATAGGAAGGTGCAAAATAAATAATATAATATAATAGAAAAAAAATCAAACCACACAAAAGAGATACAAAATGATCTCATCGCCTAAGTCTTTTCTATTAGGCAATTAATATAATATAATAGAAAGGGAAATGGGGTATTATGGAGAGTAAAAAAAGAAAGAAAAGGAAGGCATGCTAAAATAGACATCAAAATGTTTATATTGATTGCACATGTTTTGAGGAACAAGAAACTATCTTTTTGCAGCATTTAATCCTAATTCGTGTGAGCAAGAAGGGCAAGTTGTTCAGAAACAGAACGAGCACCTCACTAAATTTATGAATCATATAACTTAATTATGAAAGAAAAGAGCGGAAGAGAGAGGTTTCAAAACAAGTTTCCATACCATTTATTCAAGTTTCGGACAATTGGTTTCCTTTGAATCTATTTTTCTTGTTAAAAGTTTCACTTTTATTAGTTATATTTTCTCTGTCAACCCTTCTATCTATCATTTCTTTGTCCTGTTTTTCTTCTTGCATTTTCACTATATCACCGTACATCCTTAGGACTTCATTTTTTTATGTTGAGACATATCTAAAACTTAAGATTTTATTTCAGAGTTTAGAGTATTTTAAGTTTTTTTTTTTTGAAATTTGAAGTATTCTGTATTAACTCACTTTCTTTCTCTCTCTCCTTCCTTATCCTTCAAATACTTTCTTTTTTCTTTCCTCTAAACTCTCAATTAAAACCTAAAAAAAGATAATAAAAAAAAAAGTGAACTTCAATGCACATTATATTTTTATGCATGTGCTAAAGATGTCTTAATTATTAGAAACTAAATTCTTTATGACAATTATATTACTGAAATAAATAAAATATATTTCATTGTCTATAAATAAACAATTTAGCTATCTATTAATTGTATTGATTTTGTAAATATATATAATTAATTATATTACTAAATTATATAATTTAAAAAAAATATTGTGGGAGGAGGCTGAAACTCATCCTTGCTCCTTCTTGAATTTGTCCATACTTGACAACAAAAATGTAGAATGACAAAAAGAAAAGACCATAAACACCTATATTGCCATTTTCATTTCAGTTTCCAATGGTTTCATAACCACAACATAATTGCATCACGTTTAAATTTTAGTAAAGCTCTAATGGCTACAAAGTGTGTAGTTTATTGACCAATAACTCAAAATGTTGGATTGATGTGAGTCTTAAGTTCCATCATTTTCAACCAACTTGACTTGGGAAAATATTATACTTGAAGGAAGAGAGAAGGATATGAAAGTCAAAGTTCTCCAACAAGAATCAGTGTATAGGAGGATATACTCCTCGTTCAAACATGATCCAGCATTTTTGAGGATACAATTGTGGGTTGATTAAAAGAAATAAATTTTTGTTAAGGATAGAGTAATGATAAGTCTGTAATTAGGTCCTCTTTTATATACCATATATTTATATTTGACCTTTATTTTATTTAGATTTTACACTAATTTATATATTAATTGTGCAGTTTGGTATAAAGAGGTCGCAAGTGGATTTTAGGTGCATTTTGGGCCCAAATTGATGAAAGATTAGAGTTTCACAACAGTCAGCATGTCCAGACCCATTCAATAAGCACGGGAGTGCTTCGAGCCCATGCACCGCCGTGCTCATCTGCGGGAAGCCCAATTATGAAGAGTTTTTAAAGTTTTCAAATCCTATAAAAGGGAAGATCTTAGACATCGTAAAGGAACCGTTTTTATCTTGACTTTGACTCTAGAATACATTTGATCTCATCTCTCTTGCACAGGATCCTTGGCATATGCTTGGCGAGACTTGGAGTTTCAAGCGATTGTACTTGAAGATCAGGAACACATCTCATACTCTAGTTTGCTATTTCTTTTGATTATGGCTTTATTTATGATTGTTTTAATTCTTTTATTTAGCATGAGTAACTAAGTCCATAGCTAGTACTATGAAAACTATTGTTCATGAATTTATAAAATTTTAATGTTTGAATCTAAATTTGATTTCTGTTTTGTGATTAGTTTTTATCCTTTTGCGCTTCTTTCTTAATCCTAATTAATTATATCGTCAGGCGACCGTACATCGATTAATTAATAGATCTATAGGGTAAAACGAGACAAAAGATTAGGTGGACCAAACCAATCTTTCTCTTCTAATCGTTATTAAATTAACAAGTTCGTAGGCTCCTAAAACTTTCTTAAATTAATGTCTTGCATGACCATTAGGGATGTTAATTTAGAGAAAAGAATATTAATATTGTATGACCATTGGGTATTAATAGTATTTGTATGAATGATTGGTAATCACAAGGAAATCGAATTTAGAGTTAAACAGAAGAATAACATAAAGGATTGAATGAGAAAATCCATATGCCCTAGGTTCCTCTCCGATAAGTTTAATCAAGACATGCATTATATTCCTTACTCGTAATTTTATAATTGATTTTATAAATTCTTATTTTTAATTAATCTCGTATCTTTAAAGGTTAAACAATTGAATTAGGAAATTCTTAGTAATTGAAAATCAATCCTTGTGGGACGATATTTTAGAAACTTAATTTAAGAACCCTTTATTACTTTTTGATGAATACACTTGTCTTCCGAACAAGTAATTTATAAGATAGGAAAATATATATTTTCACTAAAATCTCTAAGTCATTAAATTGTATAGTTCAAAAGTGAAAATCTCAAAGTCATTAAATTGTATAGTTCAAAAGTTAACATGCACTTGGTTCTACAAACTAGCTCTTCAAAGAAAATTCCAAGAAAGTCATTGTGACATATATAAATAATTAAGATGAAGGTGGAATAATTAAAGCTAGAGTACACTTGGAAACAAAATATTATTTGAATGTTTTTTTTTTAAAAGCTCAAATATTTTTGCCTTTATGAAAATACGCATCCTTTAACTTGAACACGCAAACAAATTATGACATGCCCAATTGGTATGAAAAAATAACAATAAAAAGAAAAACAAAGTAAAAATAGATGAAACATCTTCCAGTTATATAAACTATAGTATATTACAAAAAGCAATCAACTTAAGAATTAACATTGTTCACGATCAAAGCTCTGCATGCAGCTGAAAATAGTATCTTACGGTGGACACTCTTATATTACAGTGACTATTTTGTATAGGAAGTTGGGGATGATTCGATTATAGAATTGAAAGAGGTATTCATAAAAGAAACATTCTAACTCTCAGACTTGGACGACGATATTTGTGGTAGAAAATTATTTAATATATATTATTTACGAAATTTTATTTAATTAAACTGTATATATGATAATTGAGGGTTAAACACATGATTTATACAAATTTTACTATCACTTATTAATTTGCATCATTATTGCTTATGACGCATGGTTTGATACGAAATCTTTGATAAAATAACCACGATTAATTTTATAAAGTTAGATCAATTGTCCTTCATGTTGTTGATGAGCAACCGTGCACTGCAGACTGCAGTTGTACAACAATCAGTTGTATAACGCTGGATCAACTTTTATCAAAATATACATCAATGACAAGGAGCGATAATGTTGATATCACACAATATTGTGTAATATAATTAAAGAAAAATATAAAATAATTTAAGTTAATGTTATTATTCATTTTTCATAATATTTAATATATTTAAATTAAAGAGAAACATTTTCCATTATTTTTTATTCGTTTTAACTTTCTTAAATAGAATATTTTATCATAAAAATAAAATATAATTTGTTACATCTATAATATGTTACATGTATTTTTTTTATTTTTTTTTATTGTCTCAAAATGTAAATAAAAATATTTAAAATTGTAAACGATAATGAAAGACGTAAAATAGTTCATAGAACTTATTTACTGTTTGTTTTTAGAAATATAATATTGGAGATGGAATTTATTTAAATTTTATAAAGTAAAAAATAATAATAAGACTAATAAAAAAAAGTATAAAATACTAACTTAAGTAGTTTCCTCTTAACAAATAAAAACAGTAACATTTAACATCACAAAAGCTTAGAAAAAATTTAAATAAATGTGTGAAATAGTTGAATCTTTAAGTAATGAAAAAGAATTAAAAAAATTACAAAGATAATATAATTTTATTATTTTAAAAAAAATTGATTGCTTCGTTTTAATACCAAACTCAAGAAACATTGGCCCAAACAAATATGTTGAAGTTAGATGAGCAATGCAATGGCCCGTCACTGGCGGGTCCAAGTCTCTCCCACCACCCACTTCAGGATTAGCGAAAGAGCGTATAATGCACTCGCTCTTGTCACTTAACGGGACCGTCACCACGCGTGACGGCAGATACCAGACCAACTCACGGAAGGCACGCTCCGTCAAACCCTCTCACACACACCTTCCCTCCACGCCCCACTCTCTTTCCCTAACGTCCCCGACGACGCCGTAACGCCATCACCTTATGGCCTCTTGCGACGACGACGACGATTTCTCACTTCTCCGTGACGACAACCACCCCCTCCACCACCAACCTTACGCGCCTCACCACCACTTCTCCCCCTCCGCCGTCGCCGTCGCCTCCGTCCCGCCGAAACCCGTCGCTAACGACGCCGAAGACTACGGAAATCCTTTCGACGACGACGGCGGGAGCGAGAAGAGGAAGGAGTGCGAGGAGATCGGCGACGGAACGACGTCGTACGGCTTCAACAAGAGATCGAAGGCGCCTCCGAGCAGTACCGCTGGCGCTGAGTACCGGAAGGACAGGGAAGAGTGGAGCGACACGGCGATTGTGTGCCTCCTCGAAGCTTACACGGAGAAGTTCACACAGCTGAATCGGGGGAACCTGAGGGGAAGGGATTGGGAAGATGTTGCGGCGGTGGTGAGCGAGCGATGCGAGAACCAATCGAAAAGCGTAGAGCAGTGTAAGAACAAGGTGGATAACCTGAAGAAGAGGTACAAATTAGAGAGACATAGGATGAGTAGTGGCTGCATTTCCACCAGTCCCTGGCCTTGGTTCAAGCAACTGGAACAAATCGTGGGAAATTCTTTGCCGGCGAAGTTCGCCGATGAGGATAAAGCGGTTGTTTCAGCCGGAACTTCACCCAGGCAATCGAAGAGGTATTAAACTCCGTAATTTTCAACATCCTTATGAAGTTTCATGGTTGTGTTGTTGAATTCAAGTGCTAGTGCTAGTACTCACTTGACATCTTGTTGATGTTTTTTAATCATTTTTGCGCTAATATATTTAGAGGATTTGTTCATTTGGTTTCTCACTTTTCCGATTTTGGCATATTCTTCTAAATGCTTAGTTTACTCAGATGCTTGAAGATTGGAATGTTGAGAAACTCGATAACATTACTTTGTAGTACAACTGCGAGCATGTTATGGTTAGTGGAGTGTTTGCTTTAACGTGATATATGCTTTTTTGTCATGTTATTCGTGGATAAGTTTGGAGTTCAAATTGGTTCTTGGAATAAGTAGGGGTCTACGGTTTTGACTGAATCTGAAAACTTATTTTCGTTGGAGGTATTGCTGCATTTTAATAGGTGTCATGCTGTCTTCACTGGCACACTTCTGGTTTACATATCAAGTGGGAACTTCATTTGGTTCTGGTGTTACTTTAATTATTAATTGTAGTGTGTTATTGTCTTGGTGCAGTGTCCATTGGTAAATTAATTCTTTTGTGTATTGTTATATTCCATTGTGCTTTGTATCAAGAGGATTTGTTCATTTTTGTTTCTGATCTGAGTACCTTGCTTATCTTTGTACTTAATTTATGTAGATGCTTACAACATGGAATGATGAAAAGCTCTACTACATTTTAGTACAGGTGTGCAGCATGTTATAGTTTGTAGAATCTTAGGGTTACATGACATAGGCTTTTTGTCATGTTATTTATGCATAAGTTTAGAATGTAGAACAGGATTGTGGAATAAATATGGGTTTAACTGATACTGAAAATTTTGAAGTTCTCCTTGGTGATGCTGCAAAAAAGCTAATGCTATCTTCATTGGCACATTTCTGGCTCACAAATTACATGAGAACTTAGGATGACAATTCCAATTTGTAATGCCAGGTGGTGTTACTATGATGAAGCAGCAAATTGATTGTGTTGTCACTATTTGGAGGGTTTTACAAATTGTTTTTCTTTTTCCTTTTCCTTGTTCTATAATGTTGATTTGTGAATGTTGAGCATTCCCCTGCTTTACATATAGATATGGAGTGGCAACACCCAGCAGTGGAGGTCAAGCAAATAACATGAAGTCCAAAGCATTGTCAAACCTTAGATGGCGGAGGGTAGTCCTCAAGATTAGTGGAGCGGCACTTACTGCATCTGATACCTGCAATATTGACCCTAAGGTTTGTGGTTTTGATGTATCCGAAAAGGAAAACAGTTGTGGTATGGTTATACATGTGGAGGAAGTTTGATAATATGAACTATTTAGTCTTTAACTAGTAGAGGTCTTATTATTATCTGGAATGTTGTGATGACACTTGTTCCATTTATTTGTTTAAATTAATTGTCAGGTGGCCATGTTAGTTTCAAGAGAAGTTGCCAAAGCTTCCCGCCTTGGTGTGGAGGTATCAGTTCTCCTGATTGTCCTCTGGAATATGTTATTCTGCTATCCTTTTCAGTTTAGCTGAAGCAGGCTTCTTTCCTTTTGATATTTCAGGTGGCAATTGTTGTTGGAGGTCGCAATTTCTTCTGTGGAGATGCATGGGTAACTGCAACAGGTTTAGAAAGATGTACTGCATACCAAGTTGGGTAAGGTTAATCACTAAAATTTCTAAGCAAGCTCTATTATGCCATCATAATTTTACAAGAGATCAATCATCCATTTCTTATTACAAAATGGATAATCCAAGGAAAACCAAAATATATTAAAGTCATGAAACGGGATAGAGAGTACCTTGGTGATAGTGCCAGAGAAGGCCACAGCTGAGGAGTGAACTTTGAATCCTATGGGATAGTGGGATACTGGTAGTGGAATTGTAGAGCATTTACCTTGTCTGGGTCATTGGAATGCAAAGAAGACAAAGATTCTCCACATTTTAAAAAAGTAAATTGGAAATCTGATATTTGAATGTCTGGGTGGGGCAGTAAAATGGGGTTGGGGTCACCCGGAGGATTACTTTGTCCTGTGTTTTTATCTATGTTTATTATCTCTTCTGACTGGATGTGCCTCTGCTTATGATTTACATAAACTTATTCTTCCCCTTCCTAGAGTTGCACTTCTGACCTTCTCATTTAATTGCATATTCAATTTTGGGAAGTTTTGATTTATGATGAATAAATTTATACTGAAATATGTATAACAGTTATTTCTTTTGTAACACTTTAAGCTACGAATTTGTGCTATTTTTTTCCCTTGATTTCTCTGTTTCTTTTTCTCCGAAAACATAAATTTCATTTGGTACTTCAACTTTGTAGGGTTCCTATTGTGCTCAGGCATGGCATGTATTTTCTTGATGCCCTGCACATGGGTAATATCGGGGCTGGTGCTTTCATGGCCTTAAAAGTCCATAAGATCATTTTAATCTTTCTGGTTAATACTACCTTCTAAAGTGAATTACTTTTGTTTTCACTTTACTTTAACATGTTAACCTGAATGAGTCATGGCTTCTTGAATATGCCAGTATGATGGCAACTGTGATGAATTCAATATTGCTCCAATCAACTCTAGAGAAGATGGGTGTCCAGACTCGCGTACAAACCTCAGTTGCCATGCAGGAGTTTGCTGAACCATACAATAGGCAGCGGGCCATCAGACATCTCGAGAAAGGAAGAGTTGTTATATTTGGTGGCATTGGTTTTGGCACTGGCAATCCACTTTTCTCCACTGACATAGCTGCAGCTCTTCGTGCTTCAGAGCGTATGCTGCTGTCCTTTTTTAAAAAATAAATTTCAAATACCTCTTTTCTGCACATCATCCATCATTTATACAGATAGGCAATGCATGTATCTTTGTTTATGATTTTAATTTTGCCAGCATCAGCATTCTTCTCCTTTTGCTTTGCAGTTAATGCTGAGGCAGTCCTCAAGGGTACTAACGTAGATGGTGTATATGACCGCAACTCACGAGATAACAATTTCACTTTTGAACATATATCCTTCAGGGAGCTGGGGTCAAGAGGCGTCACTGCTATGGATGTGTCAGCACTGACATTCTGTGAGGAAAATGCTATTCCTGGTTAGTAAGTTGTTGTATTTGGTCTTTTTCATGGGTGTGTTTCAGGTTTTAGTGCTTTAGGTTTTCATGCTTAGACAATACAAATCTACTGCCATTACGGTCTGTGCCTTACAGTAGGTCCCAAATAGGACCTATTGCATACTTAAATCGGTAGGCACTGTCTATGCAAGAAAATTCCTGGTGCTTTGTCCTGGTTTTCCTAGAGTCATAATATTTTGGCTTTTATGTTGAAGCTTGCGGATTTTGTAAACTGATCATAGTTATTGAAGTGACCGACAAAGTGAACATTTTATTACATATTTTATTTGATTAATTTCTTTTTCCATTTACTTGTACAGTGGTGGTTTTTAATCTACTGGAGCCTGGGAACATCTCAAAAGCTCTGTGTGGAGAACAAGTTGGCACTCTAATTGACCAAACTGGAGCAATAAGCTAACAGCTAATTCAACCAATTCAATTATTATTAGACAAACTGAAGCCATTAGGCTGAGTGGGATACCTACCCCACTGAGATGCTCGGTGAAGAAAATATCAAATCTGGACATATGCAGTTATGTGGCGAAGTTAGTGGACATTGTACTGCGGAGCTGAAATCACAATTTCCCTTTCACTATGTTTTTAGGTGGAGGTTGTACTTCTAATATCTTCTGTAAACAGAAAAAGAAAAGAATGCTTATGTATATTATTCCAGATGAATTGTAGCGTAGTATTGTATTAGCGTTAACCATCCTTGGTAAGTAAATGCAAACAGATACGGAATAAACTTCACTTATTATTGCAAGCGTACTACTTCATTTCCCCTTATTTCAAGAGATGAAAAATAAGGGGCTAGAAAAGCTCATGAAAAAAATGTTGTGGGTTATAAAATTTGAATCCACGCACTTACATAGCATGTCTTATAGCTCTAATATGTGAACTAATTTTAATTTCGAATGGAAGTAATTTTTTTGCGAAATAGTTCAAGGCTTTCTTGCCTTAAATATTATCTCTCATCTCGATATGGGATGTGTAATATTTTATCTTAGGGTTTAGAATTCCCAAATGTACTCATTATTTACATAAAGAAAAGAGGTACTCATTAGCTGTAACCCGTAAGCCATTTCTGGCATGCGCGCGGTAAATTCATTATGAACTCCATAGAAATAATAAGTCGCGTGCCGAACTTTTGAAAGCAATTTGGAGCACATTGATGCACCTACTAACAAGATTCCATGATTTCAGATTAAGTGTGTTAAGAAATTTAAGTAGTTAATCAATTTTCAATTATGAAGTGTTAAATAAAAAACAATAACTCATGATTGCGAATTCACAGTGCTTTATGACCATGCCATTGAATTGGATCAATTATGTCTCAAGACCGTCCACTGATGCAAACTTGAAAGTTAAAATGTTACATTATACAATTCAACTAGACAATGGTTTTCTAAGCTCAAGATCCTCATTCAGATTTGGGCTACATTCAACAATGAAATTCCACAAAATCTCACAAATTTTAAAAGAACACTTAAACACGATTGAAGAGCTACTAATATGCAGCGAGACAATGCAACTAGAAGAGAAGCTAGCGAAGACAGTTACTTCACTGGAACTAGAATATATATGACATAAAATAATCTTATTATTATATATCATTTAACAATAATCAATACTCCTAAGCTAGACCATCTTCAGTGGTGGGAATTGAAGGTGAAAGTGAATTGCGGGATTCGTCATAGTCCTCACCAAGAGGAGATTGCTCCACCCTAATATCCTCAATCATCTTCACAACTTGTGCCATAGTTGGCCTATTCTCTGGCTGTGCCGCCACACAAGCCAAGCCAACATGCAGCATTGACACAAGCTCTTCCTCAATGTTCTTGTAGCGCAAGAGTTCTTGGTCAAACACCTCTCCAGTCCACTCTTCCTTCACAACTGAGCGAACCCATTTGGGAAGATCAACGCTTTGTTCTTCTTCATCCATTCTTGGACGAGCTGGTGAAGGGTACTGTGATGAAGGAGCTTTTCCTGTGAGAACTTCCAACAGCAACACCCCAAAACTGTACACGTCAGCTTGCTGAGACAGCCTCTTCTGTTGTTCTTGTTCGGGTGCTTTGTACCCTCCCAATCTTGCAATGGCGTGAACGGGGTTCAAGAGAAGTGATAGTCCAAAGTCAGAGATGCAAGCAACGCCGTTCTTGTCAAGAAGCACGTTTGAAGATTTCACGTTCCCATGAGGCACTTTAGCTGAGCTGTACTCTGCATGGATCTTTGCAAGGCCTCTTGCTGCCCCCAATACCAAGCTTATTCTAGTAGTCCAATCCAATGGAATTCTTCCCGGACCGCGGTTCCCTATTCATATCCAACAAACCCAAAATTTAAAATAATAATAATAAAATTAAATTCAAAATAATAATACATATTTTTTGTTTTTTTTAAATTCTTTTTAAAAATGGAAACAAACATACTAGTCTCAAAAATATATCTCTCTCTACATAAATATAATATCTACATTTTTGTCTCACGCTTAACAATTTTTTATATTTAACTCATATAGAAAAAATACTATAATATCATTATAATGTCAATAAAAGGAGTAAATTAAATAGCAAAAATAAAATGAGTGAATTAATTTGTATATTTTTTCTACATAAAATCTAAAATATAATTTTTTATACATAATAATTAAATGAAAAAATAATGTAAAATGTAAGGAATAAATTTTTAATTTAACCTCAACTAAATCAGCAAAGTTTAAGATAGCTGTATAACTTGTTTCTATTTCAAAATTTGAATATTATTTAGAATAGTGTTCTGCGTAAAAAGATAACAAATTTAGAGAATGAGACATATCAAAAGTTAAATGAAAAGTAGCAAAATGGAGAGAAGAGAGACTAACCATGAAGAAGAGCATGCAAGCTTCCATTAGAGAGATAATCATAGACAAGAAGCTTTTCTTCCTTGGCATAGTAATAAGCCTTGAGTCTAACAATGTTAGGATGATTGAGCTTACCAATAACATCCATATACTGTTCAAACTCATGCCTAGCACAAGGGTTAGCATCCTTAAGCCTCTTCACAGCCACAGTGCACCCATCATCAAGCACAGCCCTATAAACAGTTCCCAAACTACCCTTTCCAAGCATCTCTGCAGAAGCACGCAACAAATCCTCCAACTCAAACTCACTCCTCCTATCGAAAAACACAAGCCTACTCCTATCACTCCCATCACTCTCTCCTCCACCACTTGCATACACCTTCTTCTCACTCCCATAACTCTTCCTCTTCCCACTCTCACTACTCTCCACTATAGAACTCGACCCTCTTCCTCTTGCACAACAATGAGCCACTATAAACGAAGTAACCACAAGCAATGCTACACAGTTTGCAACCACAATGGCCACAATTGCACCAGGACTTAACCCTTTATGTGGTTTTTTACTACCCGGTCTAGCAATCACGCTTGTTTCTGGGAATGAACTTGGGTTTGAAGGAACCGTTTGATTTGGTTCATTGTTGTTGTCGTTATCGTTATCAGAAGAAGAAGGAGGGGTTGTCGTGAAGGAACAAACGGGTAATGGAGTTGCACCACATAGAGCTTCGTTTCCGGAGAAGCTTGAAGCTCCGAACTTGTTGAGCATGGTGTTAGGTAAGTGACCGAAGAACTCGTTATTTGTCATGTTGAGTTCTTTGAGATTGTGCATGGAGGAAGAGAGATCGGGTATTTGGCCTGTGAGAAGGTTGTTTTGGAGTCTTAGGGTTACGAGGTTAGTCAAATTAGAGAGAAAGTCAACGTTTCCGTGAATGTTGTTGTCGGAGAGGTCGAGGCGGATGAGGCCTTTTGGGGAGGGTGTTTCCGGCGGGATTTCGCCGGAAAAATCGTTGCCAGCGAGATAGAGGAGTTTTAGGTTAGTGCAGTTGGAGAAAAGAGACAAAACGGTGCCGTTTAAGCGGTTGTCGTGAAGGTCGAGGAGGCGGAGATGGGTGAGAGGAGTGAGAGCGTCAACGGGGCCTCGGAGGTTGAGAGAAGAGAGGGAGAGTGAGGTGACGCGCCCATTCGAGGAGCACCACACGCCCCGCCACGCGCCGGTGCATGCGTCGGGGCCGGTCCAGTTTTGGAGGAGGTAGGCGTGTGAGTCGGTGGTGCGGCGGAAGAGGGTGAGCGCGCGTGTGTCATTGTGGTGGAGAGTTAGTGTTACAAATGGGAAGAGAAATAGAAAGAAGAGGAAGAGGAGGTGGTGATGGTTCATAATTCTTTGTTTGTCCTTTGTTGTCTCAGGCTGAGGCGGGAAGTGGAAACAATGTTTGTGTTTTAAAAATTGGAATGAGTGGAAATGAAGGTGAAATTGGAAGGATTTTCATTTGGTATGATTAGAGTGATTGGAGAGAGTGAGTGAGAAAGGATTGGTGTTATTGTTATTGTTATTATTATTATTATTATTATATGTTGGGGTGATTAGGACTTAGGGAATATATATGATGATGAATGGTGGTTGTGTGAATGATTGCTGCTGTCCACTCCTCTAAAGAAAAAGAGACATAACATAAACAAACAGATTTATTTTCATGCTTTTTCTTTTTCTTGGTCTGTTCTGATAAAGGTAAAAGAAAAAGAAGGGAAATGTTATGCCTCTTGATGCTTGTGTTCTGAAAATATTGTCCTAGACCCTTCTAGTACTATAGAATAAAAATAAATAATGATCCTACGATTAATTAGTGGTTGTATGAATTTACCATTCAAATGTTTATGAATCCATATTTATTTTAACATTTATGATTGTATGTTTCCGAGCGCAACACTCTGTTCGACAAGTGTGCAAACTCAAACCAGGTTCTGTAAGACGACAAAATTTTATTGAAAACGGAGTTTATACAAGTTACGATGCAAGTTTTGTCCAAGGTAAACAAATTTGAATGAGGAGATAATGGAGCTAGAGTGTATATACAAAGAGGCGCCATTAGTCTGCTCCAGTGTTATAGGACGAATTTAGTAACAGAATTGAAAGATATCATTGGAATAAACAATGATTTATACTATGAATGAGTATTATATACTTTATTACCTAGTTGATTATTTTAATGAGCCATCAGTGCTTTAGTTGTATAAAAATAATGATATGCTGTTGCTGGATTATTGTGGCTCACGAGTTCAAGTGTACAAATTTGAAAATGATTTTAAGGATATTCAGGTTTTCCTCAAAGGGAGGCTACTACTCTGTTCTATCCGACAGCATACGTGTGAACTTTCACCTATGTTTAGAGATCTAAAACCATATTTTTCCACTTTGACTTTTAAATTAAATATATCAATGAGGCAATGGCATGCGCAGAATAAATTTAAATTAGATTGGTATGGACGAATTATAGCTATGAAAAGTACAATGGCTGCACATTATTATATCAATTTAATTATTATACAGTAAGATTACAATTTATATACACCACTTGGTGTTGAAGGACTTTTGAATTTGAACGAACATTGAAGAAGCTCATCATCCATTATAAAACAATCAATTAAATGACAATTAGAGGAGTTTGGTTTTACAATACAACAACAATACCAATGTAGTTACTCATCTTCTCCCAAGCTAATTGACTGTAATATGCAGTGTCCTTTTGAAACTCATGTTCAATATGAAAAGTAAATGTTTCACTTACATACACACATTATCTAATTGTAATTGCAGTGATGGTTTTGATAAGGTTTTAATAAATATGAACATATCAACTCTTGGTGCCTAAAGGTCAAATTTGTGTGTTATTATACAAGAGTAAAGGAGATTGACTGTTGACAATCACTCCTATTTTGATAAGAAAACTGAAAATTGAATTTGGGTGCATGCAGCATTCTTGTGGGTATGGATCTCTTGTTATCATCTTTGTCTGCAAGCTGTGAATTTAATTTTTGAAATCTTCTGGTGGAGAGAAAAAGAAGCATTTGAAATTCAATCCACGATTATATCTACCCTTTGTGTTTGAGCTGTGGACCACTGAGGCATTAACTGTGTCGAAGTAATTCATTAGTGTAACTTTCACTGCTCATATATTTCAACCCCTAATGAAAATGATATATTTTATTAGACAAACTTTTGAGGCTTTCAACAAAGGAGAGTGATTCATTATTTGATTTGCATGCTGCTCCTCTTTTCTATGTCGTGGAAGCAAAAATAGTTCTCCATTTTAAGTCAAGAACAAGCAAACTTTTTCCCATTCCATATTATATAAAAAAAAAATTAAAAATCTATTTACACAATAGCAGAAAATTGGAATATGGTCACTTCTAGACTGAATATACTACAGTAGTAACAATTTGTTAAGCCACTTTTACCTTTCCTTTTCTGCTCTTCTTGTTCTTGGATAAATCATTTGGATATATAGCAATTGTAATATAAAATAACTAAACCCGCTGAAACATATAATTTAAATTTTTTAACTTTTGTTATGAATTAATTTTAATTTTTTTACTCGATTCATCCAAATATCAATTCAAACTGAATTTATGAAACGGGTCTTTTGATGGAACAGATAGAAGTTAAAATTTGGCTAACCTAAAATTATTATTATTATTATTATTTTTTATTGGTGAGGACAATGGGTGTAATAGTTACAGTAATATACCACATGGTAAGCTGTCCCAAAAAGTGAAGAGTTGTTTCAGCTTTTTTTTTCTTTATTGTTAGTTGTTGCATTACAATGACACCATGCTTTGGCCCAATGAACATGCAAAAGCAAAAGAAAAATAAAGCAGCAGAGATTGAAGGCGAAATTGGCGTTACAAATCTAAAATTTAGCCAGTCAGTCTGAGTCAGCAAGACTTGAAAAAGCACCATGATACTGCTTGCAGTTGCAGTAGGGAATCAAAGTCTTTGTTTCTTTCTTTCATTTGCTTTTTTCATATTGGAAAATGGGCAAAGAACATAGATTTATTTTAAGAACATTCTGCTTAGATAAAAGCTAAAGCTGAAGATTTTAATCTCCAAACTGTCTATTTGGCTACATTAGGGGTATCAAGCATGCATAAATATATATCTATATATATGTGACAAACAAAGTGTCACAATAACTCTATCGGATCCAAGAAATATGCTTCATGTCCGGACAAAGAATCATCAAATAGAAACAAAAAAACAATGTCAGATCACAGAGACTGTCACTAATTTTCACTTGCATTTGCATCCCTCAGTGCTGAGTATGGTTGGGAAAAGAACAAAAGAAGCATTGTAATTTGTGACAACCTGCAACAGATAGGTTTGATGCAAAGGGAGAGGAAATGGATTTTCCTTAGCGTAAGAACCTTTGTCTGGTTAAGATGAACACAAGTAAAAAGAAAATATACGAAAAAAGTAGAAAAGAGAGAGGGAAAAAAAATGCAAAATCCATTCAAATGAGAGAAGGAGAAATCGGGAAAGAGAGAAAGCTTTTTCTAAGATAACAAATTTCTTTTCTACTTACCTTCTCATTGTTAAATAAAAGAAAAATAATATTTTTACAAAAGATGGTGTAAAACAGCTCGTAAAAAACATTAAAAATAAAACAAATCGTAACTTCTAACATGTGTTTTATTTAAATAATGAAATCAATAATAATATAGTTTGTCTTTTCGTACGTTTATATGAATTATTGTAAAAAAAATTGTGAAACTATCATGTCTCTATATAAAAAGAATATTGAAATTATATATCATAATTATACTTTTTCTCTTCTCACTTTTTCTTTTCAATTTTTTTTTCAGTACTTTTCTTCTCCATTAAACAAGAAGAAAGAAAAAGAATCATTTTCTTACTTTTTCTTTTCCCTTCATCTAAATAATAAAGAAAAATTAACTTTTGTTCTTTTCTTTTATTTTAATTATTTATACTTTCATTTTCTCTTCTCCTATCTAGTTTCAGATTTAAACATAGTACATTTTTTAAAAATAAAATCAAAGTATACTTAAGAGACTAGCTATTATATTCACCCTTGTTATGCAATCAACAAAGCATGTCCTATCAATCTTTTTTATTTAATATCTTAAATATATTACACTTCTTTTTTTGGATATTTAAATTACAGTTCCCGCTTTATAATTAATTATAAAGATTACTCTAGTATGTGAATATATGCGTTAATTTGGTTCATTTTAATGTCAACAATGTTTGCGGATTTAGTTTATCTCATTATTAATTTTTGATATCATTGAGAACTAATTTTAAATATAAAATATTAAAATTTGAATTTAAAAAATAAAATAAAGATTTTAGATGAAGTTTTTGAAACCTAGCCAAAGGGTGTTTAAAATTTAGTTTCCTTTACAAAAGTCCTAAAATTAATAATAGGATATTCAAATGATCAGCAATCTAAAAATTATCTGTTTAGATTTTTTGATAAGGTAAAAGTGTTTTTAGTCTTTTAATTTTTTTTTCATCTTTTTGCTATTTTAATATTTAATACAAGAGAAGAAAAAAATACTTTCATCTTTTTTCAAACGAATATAACTTTATTTTCTTAATAATAGTTTGCTTTTGTAGTCAATTACTTAAATCAATGCTTTGATACTCTCAATACTTGAACATATTATTATTTCTTTAGAATAATATCTTCTTTCATGGATTCTTTAAATAAGTTGTCTTGCAGAGGATAAAACATTATATCTTACACACAAAGTTTTTCAATTGTGAAAATCTAAACACAGGTTTCAGTTTTTAACAAGTAATTTCAGAAACACTTGGCGAAGAGGGTGTGAATGTGATGAGCTATGATCTCCGACTACAAATGCACGGAGTACCCAATTTGATTTTTTATTGATTATTATTAATTTAGGCCTTCATCATTTAGATCTAGAATAACTATTTATTCATTAATTTGTTTGAATATTAAATTTAGAATAATTAAAATAGACGTATCCAACCAAATTAACCTGAACTCACTCAACAAAATATAAAGTTTAAATTTTAAAATTGAATTAAATTTATACTCTTTTAACTCAATTCAATTAAGTAAATGAAATAAGTCCACAAATATATGTAAAATGCTGATAAAATAAAGTATTGTCAATCTTGGACATCATTTTTAGAAGTCTAAATTGGATTTAAGCTCTTTTGTACCAACTTGTTAAAGTTTACGCTTGCAACGGATCAGTTTAAAAAAATCAAATAACCTATTTTATCAATTCTAATTAAATTTAAAAAATAAAATAATGAATTTTTTTAAAGTAAAATAACAGATTTTAAATAACACCTAAAATGAAAGTATTCTCTTATCACAGCTTCGCTGTAAACTCTCGCATCTCAA